ATTGGTGTTGCTGAGCGTGGAAGTTCGTTATAAACGGAAAGTGAATATACAACTATCCTAAAAAGTGATCGTTATATCCGGAAGTTCGTTATAAAAGGGTTCGTTATAACCAGTAAAAAAATACGTCGGTTTTTGTGGACGACGTTTCAATTAAAACGTTCGTTTTAACCGAAAGTTCACTATAACCGGGTTCATTATAAGCGGACTTTACTGTATTTATTTTTAAATGGTGTTTTTTGAGCTATTTTTATTACGTCCGTTATAACGGACTCGATGCGCACAGTACTTTCCATTAATTCTATGAAAGTTTTATGACCGTCCCTTATCTTATTCCAATATTTTCCTGTCCAGTTTATCTCTGGAAGATATATAATTATATAAGACAATATAATTATTTTTCATCCGCCGCTTTGCTAAGTTATTTAGATGAAAACGGTATTTTATGCAACTTCTACAATTCTAGATGTAAGAACAAGCCACCGTCCTCTACTAGATACAAAATCTCTGAATAATAAAAAAAGACGATTTTAGGGAACATATACAAGATATTCTCGTGAACATAAAGGACAAATATCGGTAGTTCAGCCCAAAGTGATTGCAAATTATAACAGGGGAGTAAATATAAAAAAAGGAAAAACTAGTCAAACACCTAGCGAAAACATGAGGTTTGATAGAAGAGGTTATTTGTTTGAATATAATGACACAGAGCGGAGATGTAAAGTGTGCGGAAAAAAGGCTCATTTTATTTGCCGAAAATATAATGTTTCAAACAATTGCATGCAARTTAATTATTTGTTTTTATGTTTAAATAAATGTTTTAAAACCTAAGTATTATTTGTTTCCACCTGCATAGAGTCGCGTTTAAACGGACGGCAAAAATATAGAAAGATACAGCAAAATAAATTAATCCAGTAATTTTTGTTGTTTTCTTGGACTATGATCACACCCTCAAARCAGTGGCATTTATCTGAGTCARCATGRGTTAAAGTMTTTTTTATAAAGACTATAAAGTATATAATTTCCTGTTTCAGACTGTGCTCGATTTGGACAGTTTGTCCGCTTCAATAGTTACGATTCCACGAGGTGGAATCTTAAACTAAACGCCAATAGCAAAGTAATCTGTCAAGGATTCACAGGCAAGCAGGGTACTTTCCACAGCAAGCAAGCCATTGAATATGGAACGAAGGTCGTTGGAGGAGTTTCCCCAGGCAAAGGGGGCAAAACCCATCTGGATCTGCCCGTTTTTAATACAGTTAAAGAGGTACTGTTGCATGCCAAGCGACCAAACTATTCGGTTGTAAATTAATTTCGTTATCCTATTGAGGATGGCTAGATAAGACAGAATTAAGGCATTAATTGGTGCAAATCTTCAACTCGTTGCGATTACGACCTACAAAGTTTCGAGGCAAACATAATTTGAAACTAAAAATCGTTCTCTATTTGCACAACACGTTTTTATTATTTTTTTACAAACTTTTTTT